ACACAAACACAAACGAACAAAAATTGTCAAAAGCAAATCTCATCATCGTTACCAAAATAACTTTAAACCAAAATCATAAAATCCATCAAAATGGATCATAGCATCAATTCATCAAACTGAAAATTGAAAATAAATATACCACATACTTCTGATACGATGAACGACACCGTCTCGGAGAAGACGAGATGATAAGCGTCGTGGAAGAAGACGAGATGATAAACCGTCGTCGGAGATGACGAGATGCCGTCTTCTGATACGATGAACGACGCCGTCGTCGGAGAAGACGAGATGATAAGCGTCGTCGGAGATGACGAGATGCTGTCGTCGGAGATGACGAGTTCCGTCGTCGTCGGAGATGCCGGCGACTGATTTCAATTTTTATTATTTTAATAATTAATTAGACAAAAGAATAGAGGGACATAATGGTAAATGAGCATATTAAAGAAACCTATTTTTGGGATAATGGGCCTTGGGGGCTATTTTTGTGATAGAAACTTGGATTGGGGCTATTTTGACCTTTTTTCTATTTATTATACTTATGATTTTTAATGCCGCTGTAAAAAAATTACTCTTTATTAATTCCAAAAAAAGTATTTACAGTTAGCTATAAACAAAACTATTTTTACAAAACATTAAACAACCACAAATGAAAGTTCACAGAGTTGTTATAATATATATTAGTCAACCATTTTTTTTTAACTGAAACTGTATTCACACATAAAAATATTACACCAGTATTATATAATATTCAACTTTTCGGATTACAGTCTTTCTAATTTTTCCACACTAATTAAAAAAATATTAAGTATTTTGTTCACTCCTATTTAGTTATTTAAAATTTATGAATTCTTTTCTACTATTATGTAAGGATTAAACAAAATTAACAGATATATTAATTTGAAAGCATACAACCTCACTCACACCATCTAATTTTTTATGCGGTTGACTTTTACTAATTATTTCCTCGCACAGATCATTTCATCAAGCAAACAACATTAACACATGTTAAATCCAAATAAAATCGAACACATTACCAATAAGACCTAAAACAGATTTTTTCGATGCCCAAACATCCTACTATCCATAAACATTATTATATATATATTTTTTTAACATAAAACACATGCAAAGAAAATATACCATAATAATATAGACCTATACATCATACGCAAATCATATCCTACCCGTAGGACAGGCCGACCCTACTTAAACAAAAGAGCACACCTAATACATAGTAGTATCCTGATTACAAACGAGACAACAAAACACATAAACATTGAAGAACATACTTGGAGAAAGTGACGAAGCAAGATGTTAATTAGACGGGAGTGGCACCGGACACATCCACTGTGGGAGCACAAACTGTGATAATGTAATGACCGAAGCTGCATCTTCTATATCTTCCATCTGCTTCTTAGAATCGGACGTGTTAACACACCAACAACCTTCACTATCAGTCCAAGTCTCCGATTCCTCCTGATGAAGAGTAAACTGTTGTGTCCTTAAGTTACCCGACACCACACAACTATGTTGTGTACTCCATAGATAGACCAAATCAGTATCAAACGGGTTCATTCCCAAAGGAAAACAATTGACATCAAAGCCGAGAGACGCCATGTTAATCTCTTTCCTTGACAACTGCCACCATTCCCCATCAGAGTTGTTACTCTTCAGCTTCCAAACCTTCAATATTGGATACAATATTTCAACATAGATAACATCTCCTCCCGAAGTAGTCAAGCATCTCCTAACGTATTTGTTATAGGGGACAGGGAGAGGTATAATCTGACATTCGCCTTTTCGTCATAAAAATCATGAGCCAAAAGGACTCCAGGGTCAGTAATATCATCCAGTCTCTTGTGCCTCATATAAAGCATCCCGTTGAGATTCAAGGGCCTGCCGAAACCAGCGGCGCTCTGGAGAGGACAAGAGTAGCGAAGTTGCTTGAAAGTCCATGTCCTTGTCTCAGAAGAATACACAGACATTCTCCAGGTTCTTTCTCTAAGGTCATCAATAAAAAAGAGAGAAGTCCTAACTACTTTGAAGCTTGAAACTACACCGTTCACAACTCGAGTGACCAAACTAGTGAGCAAGGAGGCGGAGGGATTTCAACCCAGTCTTGTAAAATTGGATTACCCACGAGAGATTTGAGTTTGATTTCGTTATCAGTGCCAAAGACTGCATCAATCAAAATCAATCCATTAGAAGAATCTAAGTAGTAATAGTCGATGGCCTCGAGATTGGGATACATTTGAAAAGGCATGGTGATATAAGAGGCTGGAGATTTTGGAAGAGCCCATGTCTTGCATCCATGGAAGCTGATAGCTTCGGTGATGGGTCTATAGAACATAAGAGACCAGGAGGAAGATGAGTTTTGGTGAAGAGATTGCGGAAATACGAAGATTCTATCAGCGATCTCCATTGTTTGCACACCAATTTGAATCTCGCAATGCTTCTCAAAGGTAACCTTGCGATGATCTCCACTACTATAGCCTCTGGGATTGAATTTCTTCTTCGCGTCTCCATTGGGGTTTAGGGTGGTTCCACTCGTCACTCTCACTCAAACACAAACACTCCTTTTCTGGTTTTTACGGCAATTTAGGGTTTCTGGTTTTTATTCCAAATCACTAAACCGGAAATTGGGTGGTTACGTAAAAGCTGACGTCACTGTGATAAGGGGGTTAGTTTAGGAAAACCAAAAAGGTTCAGGGGGTCAAAAACAATTAAATGTATTTACAAAATTTGCCACTGGTAAAACCTCGTCTGCGGGCGGGTTTCCTCTTTCTTCTAGTTCGTGTTAAGAAACGGCGAATCGTATCGAACCGCCGTCGCCACTTAACCGGTGTTGAATCTCTCTTTTGTTCCGTCGCAGAGAGAATCTCAAAATGGCTCATGTCGCGCGAAGCCGGAACGTGATCCGGCATGTAGTATCCAGAGGAACAGCTCTCCACAAATCAGAGAATGCGATGCATCATCCTCTCCTTTTCGCTTGTCAAGGAGTTCGATACAGAAAACTGGAAGTGATTCTCACCACGGTTCGATTACTGATTCCGCAACCCACATTTCTCTTTTCTTTCGTTTGATTTTGCATTTTCCGTTAACAAAAAAGAAATTCAATAGTTTCGTTGGATTTGGATTGGTGAGTTTTGTTTTTGATTTTGATTTGATTTGATAGGGAGTAGAGAAGCTAGGGAAAGGTGGGGAGACGGTGAAGGTAGCTCCTGGTTACTTCAGGAATCACCTTATGCCTAAACTCCTTGCTGTCCCCAACATTGACAAGTATGCTCATCTCATCCGTGAGCAACGCAAGGTTATATACTTTACCTCTTAGCTTTGCTAGATTGATTTAGTCTATCTGGTGTCTGATACTAGGGTCTACCATGCTAGTTGCTATCTGTTGAATAATCTAGATTGCCTCCTTGATGTAAAGGGTAAAGCAGATACTTTTGGCATGCCTTGATACTGTTATGGTTACTAATAAGATTATCTTGGTGAAGTGTTCGATGCTTTTATGTTTAGTCATTTTGATTTCGTGATGTGAATCTGTTCAGATGCGTAATTATGAAGAAAAGGAAGAGGTTAAAGTGGTTCACAAAACTTCTGAGGTCCAGACAAGAGAGTTTGAAAAGGCCGCTAAGCGTCTGGCTAATGCCAACTTGGTATTTTTTCACTTAACACTCTTGACTCTCACTATTCAACATTACAGCAGTCTCTTCCCTTGTGGAACATTCATCAGGAACTTGCTATTCAACAGGTATTGAGGAAGTTAATTGACAAGGAGAAGTTCAAAAACCGCTCCTCAAAGGAGGACAAACCAGACGTACAAACACCTGTGACAAAGGAAGAGATTGTCTCTGAGGTAAACTGGTCCTTCCTTTTACCTTCTTTAAACTATGTTATTTGTAAATGTTTTTGAGCAGATCTTAACATCATCGGTTATTCTGTTGGTTTCTGTTTCTGTAAAGGTGGCGAGGCAGCTGTGTGTGAAGATTGATCCGGACAATGTGGTTCTTACAGAACCATTGGCAACTTTTGGCGAGTATGAGGTTCCTTTGAAGTTCCCCAAGACTATTCCTTTGCCACCAGGAACTGTTCAGTGGATTCTCAAAGTCAAAGTCCGTGGCCATTAAAAATCTTCTTCGGTCTCTTTCATTTAGCCCCTGGTATTTCAGAAAATCATTCTAGTTTGACGATGCCTCACTTGCATTTTCCTTCATTTGTCTTTTACTTGTAGTTGTGTAAACCGGGTATATCTGGTTTACAGTTTAAACCATGATTCGACGGGACATTAATAAAGTTTTGGTTTTGTTAAATTACTAAATTTGATGCACACATGCGAATGTGATCATTTCACAGTTAAGAAATTTTGCCTATTTTGTGAGATCCTATTATTTTGGGCCATCTTAATAATTATTGATAGATCACCGGCTTCTCTGCGACTGAGACAAAGAGTATCTACAACTTAGGGTGTGATTGACTATTGCTGTAAATGTTCTCCACAGCCATAATTATACTTACAGCCTTATATCTACACTAATCATGATTTTGCCATTTTTTTCACTTCTTTAAATTTATATCTTTATAATTGTTCTATAGAAACAAATTTAAAGGTTTTTAAAAATTAAAAATCTAAAGGCAAAGTAAAAAAAAAAACACAACAATTTTTTTACAGAAAAAAATAAAATCACAGCTCTTACCAATCAAACTCTATATTTTAATAAAGAGCTTCACTCTTTAGAGCATCTCTAACCTAAAATCTAATTTTAAAGAGAACAAAACTTTCAAATAAGGATTTAATCTAATTTTAAGGAGAACAAAACTTCAAATAAGGATTTGAAGTTTGATTACTCAAATCATGAATCCTCAAAAGATTATTAAAAGTTTATTCATTTATATTATAGTCTTTGATATTAGTAAAAATATTAATAATGATAAAATTTTCACAAATACATATAAAAATACTTTTAATATATCATACAACACACACTATTACACTATTATGTAATTAAAACAATAGAAATTACATATATAATAAAACAACATATACACACAAATTTTAGAAAATTACATAAAAAAAATATCTATTAAAATACCAAATTACATAAAAAAATTAAATATAAAATACCAAATTTTAGAAAACAACAATATACATACAAATATGAACTTTATTTAATGTATTTTTCTATTTGTGTGTATTTTATTTTAATGTTACGTAATTTATCCTATTTTATCTTATTTTGGTATACTTAATTTATTCTGAATATTATAGATGTACTTGTGAAAGAAAATAATTATAAGGATTAAAAAATGAATAGTAGTTTTAAGCTTTTGACTAGTGAAATCTCAAATTTGAGGTGTCACTATTCAAAATCTCAAAATTTGAGGATTTGAGATTGAGTTGGAATGACAAAAACTTCAAAATTTGAGGATTTGAAATTGGGTTGGAGATGCTCTTAGCTTTCTTTTTTCGCAAGTACATCATTTGTTGATTAATAGAGAACATTTCGATATTGTTAAATGGTGAGTTCGGGATTGTGATTAATAAATGATTAAGGGACAAAATAGGTTGGAAATCTCGTTTGTATTAGAAGTAAATTAAAGTAAAGAGAGATTATAAATGTGAGGCGAGTTCAGTGTTCGAACCGAACTCTCTCTTACAAAAAAATATTGAGATCGTTAAGTTATTTTTGTTCTCTGATCGCTCGAGAGAAAATTCGCTCTCCTTTGTTTGTTCTACCTAATTCTTTTTTTTTAAAGTCGAAGGATGGCTCGAATAAGACAAAAGAGAAATCGTTGTCCTTTCTGATGAGATCATATATTTGGTTTGTCAATGAGGTCACATATCATTTGCAACGTGGGTTAAACTCCCCCGTCCCAAGGAATTAAATGCGAACCATTGTGTCATCCGTACTTCTTGACTGGTCCTGTTGATATGTCAAGGTTTTTACCACTTTTTGACTATGATATAAGTTCTATTTATAGTTTATTATATTTGTTTAGAGTCGTTTTAGAGTATGTTCAGGTTCATGTACGTTTTGGGCAACTTTAGAGATTCAAGAACTATTGAGTGAGATGCAGAGTTGTTCAGATACGCAGAATTTTAGTAATGGATGGAAGACTTTACAGGATCTGGTGAAGCTCTTATTTTGACACAAGATAAAGCTCTAATGCCACCAGTTTAAGGTCGATCAGACAGATGGATCAAAAGTTATGTTCATTTTACTGAATAGTGGTCCATTTTACGTGCGAAATGAAGCTGTCAAGCTAGCATAGTGTTGACCTATACTACCTGGGTGTCGACCAACACTCCTCCTGATCTGCTCCCGATGAGATTTTATCAGCTTCCAAGAATTGCAGTTTGGCTCAGAAGTTTCATTTATTTACAAAAGAGCTCTGTTTAACCTATATTTATCTATTTTTCTGTCACTGTTTAGGCTACACTTTATTTTAAGCTTTGTATTAGATTTGGGAGAGAGATATTTAGAACTCTTCAAAGTTCGATCTTTAACTCATGTTGTTTCGATTTATATGATTTGAACAATAAGATTACTTTAACAATTATTTTTCAGTCACTGTTTAGGCTACACTTTCTTTTAAGCTTTGTTTTAGATTTGGGAGAGAGAAATTAGAAATTATTCAAATATCGATTTTGAACATGGTCGTTACAAGGAAGTTACGAAGAATCGTCCACTATGATGGGTGATTTAAGACGAAAAAATTATCGTGGTTAATTCGTCGTAACACCTACAATGAATTGACCATGGAAACTACTCTTGTAATAGGCGTGTTTTCTTGTAGTGAGAATGCTACTTTTTTGTCTTTATATTTAGGGATGAAAATAACATTTTCTATAATTTCTCCTAAAAATAGGAAAACTCTACTATAGAGCTATATATTGGAGCAAATCAACCTTTATAATAGAGTTTTTTTTATTTATTTTAGGAAATATATTAAAATGAAAACTAAAGTGGATTGGAAATGGTCTAACAACTTTTATTACCGGAGGGGAGGTGTATGAGCGTGGGAAAGAATGCAATACCAAGCCGTAGCAAGGTCCAAAGAGACCTAAAAGGTCCCAACTCCGACAGACATAGTCACATAGATGACTCGCCCATCTGGTGTATCCGTGATATTTTGTTGGTTAGCATGTCCCGAACTAGCCCGTCGATCTGAACCAAATTAATCGTCAACGTTGAGTCACCTTCGGTGGCGCCCTGCAGCCACATCCTGGTTTCTGGAAGAGAACCAATCACTTTGAAGCCTCACGGGCACTAGGTTTCAGAACATCATGCAATGATTCATTTCAATATGGGTTAAGAAAATACACCTCGGCGAAGAGGACGAGATCCTTAGGAATCGCCACAACAATCGATGGATTAAACCCTAAAATCCCAATAATTAACTAGTTTGCGAGCTCTCTGCTCGCCTCTCCATAGTCCTTAGATGGAGAGTGGAGCCATCGATCCTGACGAGTCACGAGAACCATCAGGATTCCATGGAAGATCTACCGCCTCAGCAGAACCTAAATTAGCTAAGATCTAAAACGGATTGCAATTTCTTTAAATTTTCATATGTCAAATTATGTTTAACAAATGTTATTTTCAAAAGTCTGCCTTCGGAGACGGGCATTAGTGTTGGTTATTTGCCCCCTAGCATTGTACTTGTTGTAAGAATTTACCTTGTTTGTTTGTGTTACTCTTACTTTTAAATTTGATATATGTTTAGAGATCTCTATAATATTATTTGAGATATGAGTTTCGTACGTGTCGCGTTTATCGTTAATTCTCACGATGGTTGATTACATTGATACCTTTAATGAATTAAATTAATTATTATAATTCATTATTGATATTTCTATTTTCTACTAAAAATCATTCCAAATTTCTATTAATAACACTTACTTTACTTTCTTTTTCCTAATAAAGCTATTGTTAAGTTTAAATTTAAATTTTGTGCTTTGATAAAACCAGAAAAGGAAATAATTTTAAAACACAAACATACATATTTTTATATATATGTAAAATAATTTTTTTTCTGTTTTTTTTCAGAACAGCATAAATAAAATAAAATATCTATGAATTTTTAATATATATATGTATATATATATATATATAGAATAAATGCACAAAAATTGGAAAAATAAAATATTTAAATATTTTTTAAATATAAATATGAATATATTTTGGTAAATGATTAAATAGAAAATAATTTTTAAAAACATAGACAGATTAATTAATATCAGATTTTTCAAGTTTTTATGAATGTATTTTGGTAAATGATTAAGAAAATTTAAAAACATAAACTGATCCATTATTATCATATTTTTCAAAGATGTTTATATCTTATTACTATCTTAAACCCTGCTGACAAAGAAAAATCTTAAACCCAATTAAAATTTTAAAAATGTGAGGTTGAGTAAAAAGATAAAATACTATTTCTTACTATGACTAGTTTTCATCAAAGAATTAATTTTAATAACATAAATTGATCATACAACATCAAATCTTAATAAAATATTTTTTTTTATATAATGAATAACTAAAATGAATAAATAAATTGAAAAATAAACTTGTTGTTATTACTTTATCTGAAATAACTTTGACTAAATTGATCAAACAAACTTACATGTTTTTTTTTGTAATAATTACTTTCTTAAACTTTAACTGATCAACGAAATTTAAAAGTAGTAATGATTCGGTTTGTTTATGCAACTCTAAATCCCTCAACACTTATTTATTGGATTTTATCGAAAACACTGTATATCAGATTATACATAGTCTTACAAAATATATTTATAAACCTAAAAATTAAATTAAAGAAATCTAATTCATCGCCGCGATTCATTCTGCTAGAACTTCACTAAGAATGGCTAGTACACGGTTAGATCTTTATATTGGGTACCTCGAAATTTATTGGAGACTAAGGGAGAAAAAGAGGTATTGGAGCCCAGTATAACTAAGCTCCAACCCTTACCTTGTACGATAAAGATGTCTCAAAAGATATGTCATCTTATATGGCAACTGATAGCATGTCATGTGGCAGTAACGAAAAACTTGATATGTCGTAACATGAGATGCATAACTATTGTCAACAATGTGGAGAATGTTACCCATGCTATTTTCGAATTCCCTCCAGCTTTGCAAGCTTGGTCTCTATCAGCATCGCCAGCAAGTCCTGATTTTTTCCCAGTTCAGATTATTTATGCAAATATGGGTTATCTTTTCTAGAGAAATAACATTATTGTTGAGCCAGAACTTGACAGAGATCCTTATGGTATATTTGGAAGGCTCGTAATGATAAATTTTTTAAGGAGATTGACATGGATCGTTTGGAGCTAGTTCGGTATGCATAGAGTGAGTGTCAAGCCTGGTTTAATGAAAAT